TATATTCTAGAAGGCTATTAAGAAATAATCCGACTCTTAACACTATTGCTCGCACCCTTGGTCGGGGATCCTTCAAGAATGCTGACTACTGGTACGAGCACACCAAGGGAATATCGACTTAGTATCAAGATCTGCCGGATCGGCACAACTGAGTTTGGTACTTGGCTGTGATGACGGAAATTTCACTTGATCTAGCAGATCAGACACGATGAGAGCCTATCCGGACGAGTTACCACACGGAAACCCTACGCAAAGTAGCGGAAACCGTCGGAAACATGATGATCTAGCATTTCCGTGGCAGTACGGGTGAAACCCGCAGCGGAAACACGCATATGTTCAAGTTCTAAACTGGGATATAGCGTATGCTATGTACAGCTTTGACCAGTACTCACGGAAACGCGCGGAAACCTACGGAAAACACTTCTGAAGCATTTACCTTCGTTGTCCGCTCCAGAACACCAGGCTATATGCATACCGTTCGAAAGCTACGGACCAGACCTACCTGATCCGCGAGATCAACCACTGTTACGAGGCTATCTCATTAACTTGGGAAGACCACTACCATTCCGCGGAAGCAAATTCGTCGGAAACACTTGAGCAACACAGGCAGGAGCCACTCTGACGAGTTAGGCACCCTAGCATGTGGATGCCGCACAGACCATGGTCGGAACTTGCTTGGTCTTCTAGATCTGGCGAAAGTACGACGAAATATGGACAAGTTTCATCTTTTTCTCGGTTTTCCTTACTATTTCCTTGCGTGTTTGTATCGCTTCAGTCATATTTTACTATTTAAGTGTATATTATCGGACTCCGTCCGTAGAAATAGCTAGATCTACCAGATCAAGGACAAATACGGGTATTGGACTTTTCGTAGTGTACTTAAAGACCTGTATCCGCACAAATGAAACAAGTTTCGCGCCCAGATCTCTCTGAACTGGTAATCCTTTTCATCCATACGTGGGAGTAAAGGCTTCTAAGCCGTACCGGACCTTGCAGATTAAGTGTGTTACTTCATCGCGATAAGCCCGACTTTTGAGTGGTTTGACTTGGTGTCTGTCACTTGCTAGTTGAAGGTAGACTCCGTTCCGGAGATACATAGGACTTGGTCTCAGGTTGTGCCGAGTGAACGTGCAGAGTTTTGGTGGCTCTGTTCAAGTTGACACGTAGTGATTGGTGATCTGCGTGATCCTCGAGGTTTTACTGAGAATAGTGATCAGTACTGCTTCACCCGGGAGCGGAATCGATTGGTCTACCATAACGTCTGGTACCCCGTTGCTTTCTGAGCCTACAAACCCTTATCCGAGCGGAAGCCGTTCAAAACAAACCCCTTAGTCCAGATCTTACGACTGGTATATCCGTGTCACTTCGTTCTGTTGACCAGTATTGCTGATCTAAAAGATCTTACAAGACTGCGTTCGACTTGAGATATAAGATAGTGCGGAATCTCTGACAACGCCCCACACCTCGCTATAAATACAATTTGATTGACGAATCCGTGAAGTCGTACTCTGTGTTCGTGCTAAGTGACCTGTCATAAGGCATTATACTAAGAACCGACTTTATACCTCGTTACCGCGGCGCGTTTTTTCCCCCTCCACCAGACAACACTAATGTACCTATAGATCCACAATACCCGGCACCCAAATGGAACTTCACACCACCGACTGACCACCAAATACTGCAGGCAATACGCAGACTCAAGAACGGGAAAGCAACGAGACCGGGAACTATACCGAATGATGTCTTCAAAGTTGTGGGCGAGCTGATAACACCCTATCTAGGTCCGATCTACAGAGCCACGTTCACCCTGAATGTTTACCCAGACGAATGGTCAAGAACCGAAACGATCGTATTGAAGAAACCGGGAAAGCCAGACTACAGAGACCCGAACGCATGGCGACCAATCACACTATCAAACGGACACGGTAGGCTACTGAACAGCTGCATAGCGGACGAGATCACCAAATGTGCGGAACTACTGGGATTACTCCCAGCAATGCAGTTTGGAGCCAGACCAGGGAGAAACACAACCGACTCTATCCACCTCATGGTCGACAGGATCAAGAAACTATGGAGAGAAGGCCAGATAGTTGCAGTGCTGTACATGGACCTCAAAGGGGCATTCCCTAGTGTTGATCTTGATATGCTCTACTACGAATTGCGAAAGATCGGGGTACCCGTAGTGATTACCGACTGGATGAAGAGGCGTTACCGAAGAAGAATGATACAATTATCTTTCGACGATTACCTTTCGGAACCCTTCGGAGTCCCAGGAGGCGAAGACCAGGGAGATCCATTTTCGGCGGTTGGTTATATTCTATATGCAGCAGGTTTACTCAAAACTTTACAGGAACCGCGCAAAGAAGAAGGCTTTGCATTCATGGACGACCTGGCGGGAATGAAATGGGGAACAGACATCAAAGAGGTGCACGCCGGCATAGAGCGAATGATGGCCCGAAGGGGAGGAGTGATCGACTGGGCACACACCCACAACTGTCAATTTGGAGTCCCAAAGTTCAAGTTAGTCGACTATAGCCGGAAAAGAGAGCCCGACCCGACCACTCCAGGCAAAACAAGGAGGATTGTTGGGCCCGGGGTACAGATCGGTCAGACAATGATCAAGCCGGAACCCTATACGAAATTCCTTGGTGTCTTGATGGACCAACAACTACAGTGGAATGAACAATATGCGGCGATGGTCAAGAAGGGTCAACAATGGATATCTCAATTCAAACGGATAACGGGTCTCAAGACAGGGATGACAGCGCAGTTGGTTCAACAACTATACAAGGCTAAGGCATTACCTCGAATCTTATACGCTGCTGACATTACCCTTATGCCCGCATCCAGGAAAAGGGAGAAGACATGGAAACAGGCATCAGTCAAACGAGGAATTACACGGAAGCTCACATCGATTCAGCGACAAGCAGCCATCATGATCACCGGAGCAATGAACACCACAGCCACGGACATCCTTGACATCCATGCGGCACTACTGCCCATGCCTCTAGAAATCGAACGCCAGCGACACCGAGCAGCCATACGGCTCCTGACGATGCCAGACGAGCACCCAATTGCCAAAAGAGTCAAAGATGCAGCGCGTTATCAACAACGAACCAAACACCCCTCCCCACTACATGACCTTATGGGGAGATACGGGTTATCCCCCAAAACTATGGAAAAGAAGAAGGCAGTCCGATACGAGGCAGCATGGGACCCGAAGATCATGATTCAGATTTGGGACGATAAAGCTGCTGCCCTCGAAGCACTCGAACAAGACCAAACGAGATGGAAGGTGTTCACGGATGGATCAGGTTACAAAGAACACGTGGGGGCGGCGGCGGTCCTGTTTGAGAGGGATGAAGAGAGAGGCGCGCTCAGATATAGGCTAGGCAAGGAGAAACATCATGAAGTATACGAAGGTGAGTGTGTCGGTATGATCTTGGGACTACATCTGGCGGCAGCACAGGATATAGAAATGGAGGAACTATCCATCTGGGCAGACAGTATGGCAGCCATCGCGGCCACCAACAGTGCCAAAACTGGCCCATCGCATTACATCATGGATATGTTTCACGAACGACTACGAGACTTGCGAACACACTTGCCGAACCTGCGAGTCACTGTTTCATGGATCCCTGGACACCTAGGAGTTGAAGGAAATGAACGAGCGGATCAGGAGGCCAAACGAGCGGCAGAGACGAGGTCGAGTAGGAGGGCAGAGCTCCCGTTGTGTTTACGAAAACCGCTACCCCACAGCCAGACAGCAGCCATCAGAACCTTCAGAAGCCGACTGGAACGACACCATGACAGACTTTGGAGAAAATCACCGCGCTATGAAGCCTTCCAGAGAATCGATCCAGGGGAGGCAACTGCAGTGAGCAGACGATTTTGGAAGCTGGCGCGTTGGCTACCGAGGCAGCTGCTATCCATCCTCACCCAGCTACGAACCGGCCATATACCCCTACAGAAACATCTACACCGAATCGGAAAGGCGGAAACGCCGATCTGTCCATGCTGTCGAAACGACGATGAAACAATCCGTCACTACCTACTCGAGTGTCCGGCGCACAGAAGAGCACGCGAACAACTTCAATGGGAGTTATCCAATCAGCAATGGGGTCTAGGTCCCATGCTCACGTCGAGGAAGGCACTGCCAGCGCTATACAGATACATTAACACGACCGGGAGGTTCCGACACATATACGGGGAGCTGCCAGAGTTAAGAGACGACGAGGACGACTAAGGAGGCTGAGGGGAAAAACGACATCTAATCCTACCACCGCATCCAACTAATACCACTACAGCTTTCACTAATACCTAACGGTATACGGACTTCACGGCAAATATACCTTTGACCTTCGGGTCAGACGCACTCGCGTCATGTATCCCTCACGGGAACGACACTTGTTGGATGGATACATATACATTCTGATAATATGAAGTGGTACATACTTATTGCAGACTATACACTACTATATGCTATGGCACAAAGGTGTTTAAATATGATACAAAAAAAAAAAAAAAAAGATACAGTCTAATGTAAATAACACGTTACACAATTGCCAACACATAATACATTGAGTACTGTATTGAGTGATGAGGAATGGTAAATATTATCAGTTGATTAACAAGAAAAGAAAAGATCAATTGATGAATGTAGTAATCTACTTCAAACAAATACACAAACATTGGGAGTTGGAAACAACTGAGGGAGCAGGAGTCAGGTATACCATAAATTATAATCCATGTTAACAAGTAGCTGTAGCCTGTAAGTAAGTTACATAATAATGTAACCATGAGGCATTGAGGGCCTGAGGCTTAAGCAAGCTGAAATGAACCTTGAGTTCAAGGTCAATGTCATTTTTTACAAGGTAAAAAAAAGATACAAACAGGTACATACATATATGCCAACAGAGGAAACATTATACATAGATATGAAAAAGATTGAAATTTGAACATATAGGAATATTAAAAAAATATAGCCGTGCAATCGACAATGCATTAAGGGGGAATCGAACCCCCGGCGGGTCGAGTACAATGGTTAATCACCCATGGCAACGACCCAGGTTACCACTACCCCATTAATGCATACCATGAAGGTTGTAAGAATGGAATATGAGGTTAGGTAGAGTCAAGTTACTCGCAGTAGTTTTATGAAATGTGGATGTTGCGTTGTGTGGCGACAGTGTGAGGTTGATAGGAGGAGGAGGAGGATCTTTGATTGGATGTACAAGAACAAAAAAGAAAATGGATCAAAACGCTGTGATTAAACGAGCTTCCGAGAGCCGGTTCTGAGGTTCATAGGTATCAACGAAGGACGAGGGTTATAAAATGTCTGTGTCTGCCATGGTTCATACACACTCTTCCCTCCCTTCCCCTCTCTCCCCACCCATTCCTCTCTCCGATCCACCCCCTCCCTTCCCCAATACCACCACACCTGCCACCCCACCACCCCATTCAACACCGCCCCCAGCCCAGCCCCAACACCAACCAGCCCATCACCCACCTCGGCCCAATTGGTGTACACCCTCGCGAGACACCCGGCGACCTGGGCGCCGACAGCGAACGCGGAGAGGTTCCCGGTGGATCGAGACCGGTGGTTTTGGATGATTTGGGGGAGTTTGGAGGAGAGGGAGAGGGGGAGGGTGAGGAGTTGGAGGAGGGAGAGGAGGGGTTGGGGGGAGAGGAGGAGGAGGAGGAGGAGAAGGAGGGTGAGGAGGGTGAGAGAGAAGAAAGTGAAGGGAGAGGATGGGGATGAAAGTCGTGTTGGACGAAGTTGGGCAGGATTATAGAGTATGATAAGAAAGGTGATGATCGTGTTCTGGATAGACAAGAACAGATTCTCTCCATACGTCGAGAAGGGAAAGCCATTCCGGTATGAATAGAAAAAGTTGATAGCATAGGCGAGAGTTTCGAGGATGAAGGATGTCAACGAGAGGCCTTTTGCTGAACGACTTTGAAGCACTGTTACTCATCGTCAAGGACATCTTCAAAGGATTCAGGGTGAGCGCACCTATAATCAACTGAGGAAGCTTCATAACCGACGCCCCAACGACAATTCCAATCCCCATCCCTTTCGACATCGCATACTTCCAACATCTTACATCGCCCAATTCTAAATTATACACCAGACTCGTGTAACATTCCTACCAACATTCTTCAGCAACATACAGAGATAAAACTAAGCATACTCACAACCCCAATAATCGAGCTCGCCGTATCACGTATGAACCAAGGCAGGTTTCGCGTTAGACTCGTCATCGTCCAACGCGTATGAACGATGGGCGCTTAATTCAACTGCAACGCGTATAACCTTTGACTAACACTCCTGACCGGCCCTCCTACTATACTGCAGTTATCCGACTGGTAGCAGAAAAGGCATCTCATCCCTCTAACAGAATCCAGCCCTTGCTGTCGGATGATCATGAGGTTCACTATCTGCGATATCTGGTGATTATAAGAAGATTCAATTTTCATGGAACCTGAGAACTTTGACAAGGTCTCGAGGACTGTGCAGTCAGAAGTCTTGTACATGTACTGATTATGATAAGCAGCACATACTACACTCACTGTCTCAACCACAAAACATACCACAAATACAACAAAACACGTAAAACAATTTAGGAGAGCAAGCCAAACACCCTCTAATCTCCTCGACGTACTCAACGTACCAATCAACACCACCCCCTCCCAGCTCCTCTCCCAGCCCCATGTCCTCTCTCCTTCTCAATCACAAACATTGCATCCCGCATCGTTATCGACAGTTTTCCATCGCCTTTACCTTCTTCTCCTGGTCCTCCTCCCACTCCTACTGCACCACCACCGCCACCGCCACCGCCACCACTACCGCCGCCGCCAGAACCAGAACCGTCGGTTGTCGTCGTCGTTCCATTCGTATCGCTCGATACTTTCTTGTATGTGCTGGACACATACGGTCGTGCCCATCCACTTGTCGTCGTCGTCGTCGTCGTCGTTGTGGGCGGGGTGCCAGTAGTGGTACTAGTCGTAGCCCCCGTGTTCGTGGTCGCCCCTGTCCCATTCGCATTCGCCGCACCCGCACCCGCACCTGCACCTCCCTCAGCACCACTAGTATCATTCGCATTCTTCTTCATCGTCGTACCCCCCGTACTCCCACCCGTCCCACCCGTCGCACCAGCATTCATCCACGCATACCTCCCCGCCAGACCCGCCGCATGACTCGCCGCCGCATTCGACATCTTCTTCTGTACATCCGCTGACATATTCTTCGCCGTTACCCCAGGACCGTCCTTTTTCCTCTTCTTCTTCGTTCCCCCCGCTCCTCCTGCTCCGCCTGAACCGTCGTCGTCGTCTCCTCCTCCTCCTAGGGCGGACCCGACCCCCGGTGTAGACGAAGACGAAGAAGAAGAAGTCCCAGGGGCGCCGGGCGCACCCCCGTTCTGAGCCTGCAACAACGCCTGAGCCTGCGCAGCCGCCATCTCCGCTCTCTCCTTTCTCTCCCTCCGGACCTTGGTCTCTTCCTCTCTCTCGATCCGTTCCAGCACCGCCAGCTGTTTCGCCACGTCTGACCTCACGCGGATGCTCCACATTGGGGTCTTATTATTCGTCGTCGTCGTTCGCTCCCCGTCGTCTCTCTCGGCGTGGGAAGTGGGATTCGGATTCGGATTCGGATTCGGGTGGGCATACACATCCTCATACATCGACGGCGGTCTTTCAAACTGTGTCTCTGTCCGGTGTTTCGCCGCGACGATCATCGCTTGGATCAGGTCCTGGAGTCGAGCTCGGAGTGCGAGCGCGAGGTAGTTCACTGTGTCGAGTCCGAGCGTGTCTGTGCCTTCGGTGGAAGTGAGCTTATGGGCACTCATGATTCCTTGTATCGTTGCAGAAAGATACGTCGTGTTAAAGTTCGGCTTCGGAGGCTGTTTCCGCGTTCGGTCTTCGTAGGATGTGTAGTTATTCGAGGTAGTGTATGAGGACGAAGAGGGGTAACCGTACCCTCCTTGGCCGTGGCTCTCGGTCCCGGAGGAACGGTGGAGAGATTCTTCTTCTGCCTAGAGAGCCCGAACACATACGTTAACAATGAGTTTACTTGGATCCACAACGACATACCCTTAGATCAACCCCCGTCCCACCCAACGCGTCTTTCAACATATCGATATCGGATGTATCCATCAATCCACTTCCTCCTCCTCCTCCACCCGTACTCGTACTCGTACTCGTCTGAGCCTGAGCAACGACAGGCGTCGGCGCTGCAATCGGCGTCGGTGTAGGCGTCAACGTCAGTGTCCCCGTCCCCGTCCCCGTTGAACCTATCCTTGTCCCAGCTCCGGCTGTTGCAGCGGCGGCGGCGGCAGCAGCAGCAGCCGCAGCCGCAGTAGCCGTAGGATACGCAGCTTGATACGACTGGTAGTAGCTATACGACGGATACTGGTATACCCCTCCTGGGACTGACACTGGAACAGTGGCGGGGGTAGCGGTGGAGGGTTGGGCAGAGGATGTTGCGGTTCCGGAGGAGGAAGAAGGTAGGGAAGGAGGGGGTTGGGCTTGGAGAGCTGGGTCGATGGGTATATCTGTGGTAAAAGAAAAAGATCGAGGGATCGAGAGCGTCAGGGTCTTTTAGATGCAAGATGTGTAGAAGAGCAGAAGAGCAGAAGATGAGAAGGACAAGAAGAGGGAGAGGGAGACTTGAAGCTCGAAAAACGAACTTACGTGCCCATGTACTATACGTCGTTGGGACCGGCTGAGGCTGATACGTCTGAGGCTGGGGTTGCGGCGTAGGTGTCGATTTCGCAGCAGGTGTGCCAGACCTAGCCTGATTTCCTTGCGAATTTGAGTTCCCGGGTGGGTTCATTGTTTGAGTTTCGTCGATTGTAGTTTCTTGGGTGATAGTCGTTTTCGTCGTTGACGTTGAGTGATACTATCGGTTGTAGTAGTCGAAGTTTCTGGAATCTACCTCCTCCTTCAAAATCTTCGAGATTTCTGTGGATTTCCCGTAGTACTTGACGCAGATTCCGGATGGCCAAGATATGTAAGGCCAAGACAGCGCGTTTCCTCGTCGTGCACTAGACGATTCAATTCCTTTAATTCCTTCGCGTTCTTCGTTCCCTCTCCTTCTATTCCTTCTTTCTTGCTTCAAGTCTCCTCCTTTGAGTTTCCCCTCGTGTTCTCGCGTTCTCGATCCCTTTTAGTTCCTTCGTGGAATCGCGTTCGTGTTCGTGTTTGTGTCTGTGTGAGTACAAAGAGCAAAGGTAAAGATGGCAGATGGCAGATGGAGGTGGTAGATGGAGGATGGAGGCGAGTCAAGATGAAATGAAGGCGAAAGTGGCAAAAAGAAGCTTAGCTTGGGCCACCAGAAGTGACTGAAGATTTCCAAGTTCCAATTAGAAGCGCCCGTAATCAAGCGCTCGGGTTTCAACAAGCGCTCGAAAAGTTCAAGGAGAGCTCATAGATTCAAGATCCCTCAAGTGAAGTTCAAACTTCATTGGCAAGAATTTGACATTTCTAATCAATCTTATACATTGACAATTTACACATATTCATTCATTCATTGGACACCCTCTCTCACTCATCCGCCACAACCACAATCTTCTTCGCCCGATTCACCCCCTTCAACACATCCACAATCGCCTCTCCCCCCTTCTCCAACCCCCTCGTGACATCCTCTGTGTACTTTATCTCTCCATTCGCAAGCTTCCCGGGTATTTCTTTGAAAAACTCGTCTTGGTATTTATCTTGGAGGTCAAAGACGAGCATGCCGTTGATGCTCAGGCGGTTAGAGAGGACGGTGCGCATTGTCTGTGTGGGGGAAGAATGTAAGCAAGGAGATAGAGATAGGGAGAGGACGCATACCTTGATCCCATAAGGTTCTTCATTATTATACTGCGAAGCATATCCACAGACTATAATCCTCCCATGCAGCGCACTATTCTCAATCGCAGCTTCGAGCGTAGGTCCACCGACGTTATCCCAGTATCTGCAACGTCCATTCAACATATAACACAAAGCAAATAAGCACCGTGATACTAGGAGATAAGAGCCGAGAGCCCAAACACTCACACATCAACCGGTCCCTCCCTCTTCAACACCTCCCCTGTATCCGTCGTCTTGTA